GAAAACAAATCCTACCATTTGCAACAACATGGATGGAGCTAGAGGGTATTATGCTCAGTGAAATAAGCCAGGCAGAGAAAGACAAGTACCAAATGATTTTACTCATATGTGGAGTATAAGAACAAAGGAAAACTGAAGGAGCAAAACAGCAGCAGACTCTCAAAACCCAAGAATGGACTAACGGTTACCAAAGGGACAGGGACTGGCAGGAGGGGTGGGAAAGGAGGGATAAGGGCAGGGAAAAAGATAGGGGGCCTTACAATTAGCATGTGTAAGTTGGGGCGTGCATAGGGATTTATGTGCAACACAGAGAAGACAAGTAGTGAGTCTTCAGCATCTTACTATGCTGATGGACAGTGACTGTAATGGGGTTTGTAGGGGTGGACTTGGTGAAGGGGGAGTCTAGTGACCATAATGTTCTTCATGTAATTGTAGATTAATGATAATAAAATGAATTAAAAAGAATGTTAACTGTCATCTATAATCTTAGTTGTCTGTAATGTTACTACTCAGTCTTACTAACCTTTGTCAATATAAATATATGTAATTTTTTTAACAAAATGGAATCATTGTGTATATATGGTTTTGCTGCTCCTTTTCGTCAGTGATGTGTGGAACGTTTTACAGATAATAAACATTATCTTCAATATCTTTAATGATTATGTACTAGTCCATTTTATAGATGAAATGTAACTTACTATTGGTACTTGTGCTGTTTGTAATCTTTGGAATTAGCCAAATAAAAACAGACTGGAACTCCTTGGACACGTTCCTAATGAATGAGGCTGTATGTGCCATTTGTGAGTACAGTTACTGTGTTGGGCACTTGCCCCTGGCCACGGTCCTGCCTCTGTGGCTCTACTTGGCCTGAAGTCTTTGATCCAAACAAATTTTCACGTGTTTACCTACTGTGCCTCAGGCTGACCTCTGCATAGCTACAGTGCCCTGACGGAGTGAAGAGGAATGTTGTGAACAGATTTTCCAGCTGGCTTAAGGTCAAGTGTTCCATAACAGAGTTGTTCAGAAAGCCAAGGGGCTATTGATTGATGCTATGGCAATTTTAGAGAACAAGCCCTTGATTTAGGGTTGATCCTTTTATATTGAGCTGCGCTGTCCAATATGTCAGCCACTAGCCACACTTGGTCATTTAAATCTAAATCTAAATACACTAAAATCAAAGTTAAATTAAGAATTCACTCCCTTAGCTGCACTGGCCACATTTCAACTGCTCAGTAACCCTATGTGGCTTGGGGCTACCATAATGAATCATGCAGAGGACATTTCCATCATCGCAGAAAGTTCTATTGGACGGTACTGGGGGGCATCCCTCTGCCTGTTTAGACATCCACATGCATTGCCTTGCCCACAATGCCCAGGTGTGGTGAGCAATCAAGAATACATTGTTAATGGGTCAGTTAAATCTTGAAAGAACAAAATGTTTTTCATGTTGGTACTGTATGCATCAGGCCTTTATTATCCTGTAGTCTAGCTCTTTTGCCTTCTTAAAGATGAGGTTCCTGAGAATTAAAGATGAAGTAACTCATCCTTGGCAAAAGGCTAATATGTGGGGGCAAGGCCTTTAACCCCCAACCCCCCATTTTTGGTTCCTAAGTGTCCTGCTGGTTTTACTGCTTCCTGCTACTCTCCTCTTTGGTGAAGGCATTCTTACCCAGAAATAAGTTCTTCTGTATCCAATTTTAGACAGATGTTTCATAGTTGAAAAAAATGAACGTAATTTATTCATGAAGTAAAGTTGTTATTACATTGAAATTATTTATGCTTCCTGATTCTATTTCTAGCTTGAGCAATTTTGGACCTTGCTTTTCACTTCTGAGGGGAGGAAAAAGAAAAGGATGGTGGACAACTTCCATCCCCTTCAGCCCCTCATGAATCGCACTGTCTGCTCATCTTTCCATCACGATTATGTACTGAATATACAAGCAAAACCCAAGCCATCAACAAGCCAGGTGATCCCCAAGTGGCATTTTGCTTTAATACATGCAAACTTTTTAAAAGTTATTAACTGGACTATCCCAAACACGTGCATTTAAGAGTAATTATAGATGTGCATTTCTCGGTATGGCAGTGCTCCTTCAGTCTTTGAGGAAAGCCTTTTGGTAAACTAATTGTTCCTTCTATTAATAATGGTGTTTTATCACTGAGGCAGCAACTAGAGACACAAGTTTCTCTTACAGCAACTTGTTGGTAATTGCAATGTCTTTTTATGTCTGACAGTTTTGACCTATATTTTTATGTTTATCAATTAGTTATAACTATAGAGTTCTAAGTAGGGACAATAATCAAATTATTTAACAACTGGTAAGGCACAGACACTGACCATCAGAATGCACGCCTTTCAGAAACAGCACCCAGGCCCAGACTGGTACTTCCTGGCTGAACATTGGCAATGGTTTTGGGTATATTTCGTTGCAAAACATGAATGTGTTTCTTTTATAAAGCTTTCTCAATGAGTAAATTTGCCCCCATCTTTAGTTGTCATTACTAGACATGATATGCCTACTGACTTACTATCAATTTATGATACAGAAAAAATATTTTGTAATCCTAAGAAAACAGGATCAACTTATATCCGGAAATCCTTTTGCAAGTACCTAAAGATCAGATATTTTTAAGGTTTGATAATGTAGAAAGTATATGCAGAACATTTTAAAGAAAATGCTTGAAGAGTCTAGAACTTAAAATTCTTTCATGATATATCACAGAAATATTTTTCAAAAGACTAGTAATATAATATAATAGTCTATAGTTTCTAGTATTATTTTATATTGCTTATGCATTATTTCACAAAATATGGTAATATTTTCTACAGCGACAGAGCTATCCTGACTGCTATTTAAGATGGTCTGAACTTTATTTCATTAGCTGAGGTTCTATACAAGGTAGGTGATCAATATAAATCCCCTGATAAATACAGTGGTTTATAAGACTGTTGCTACAGTAATAGAGGAAGTTGTCAGATAAGCCAAAATCTAGATAATTCTACGTATTCTGAGGGATCCATGCCACTGTTGCCCTTATTTGTAAATATCTTGGCTAATATAGGATAATTGCCTATAAGTCTGTGTCCAAACTCAATATTCCATTTACTAGTTGTTTATCTTTCATTAATATACTAGTCATCTCTCCAAGAATGAACTAGTGGTTACCAAAGGGGAGGAGTGTGGGAGGGTGGGTGGGGAGGGAGGGAGAAGGGGTCTGAGGGGTATTATGTTTAGTACACATGGTGTGGGGGATCACGGGGAGAACAGTGTATTACAGAGAAGGGACTTAGTGGATCTCTGGCAACTTGCTGCACTGATGGACAGTGACTGCATTGGGGTGTGGGTGGGGACTGGATAATATGGGTAAATGTAGTAACCATGTTTTTTCATATGAAACCTTCATAAGAGTATATATCAATCATACCGAAT